GCTTCGAAACGAAAATCTTTCATAGCGCTGCATGTGTTCAGAATACTGTTTCTACAGTCCACGCGTCTGTAGTTACTAAGATGGAATTCCACTGACGGATATATCACTTTGTGAACTACTTCTACTAAATTCCCATAAAAAGACATGATGTATGTAGCCTACAAAGCAAAGATGATACTAAGCTCATATCACTTTTTCGGATTTCTTGAATTAGAAACATCAATATGTACAATGTATTAGATCTTTTCGCGTGAGTTCTTGAGCTACTATCTTTGTACGCATGACGTCCGTGAATAGCGTTCAGCTCACCATCTTCTACAAAAAGATTTTCGAACAGATAAAGAAAAAATATCTCCTTTGTAAAGAGGAAGGAACAAGCTCATGCTCAGCGAATAAGACGAAATCCACCCTTCAATTCGAATTTCCCGACGTCAGAAACCCTTCGGTCTAATCTGGCAATGGATGTTAATAAGTCGTGGCTATAGTTAATGAAAAACTCATAATTAATTAAGCAACACTAACGTCGGATTCGTGATCCTCGACCTCGATTACCTTTCGGTCGACCCTTACTCGACAACGAAGAAAATTTTCATTACTTAATTAGCTAATGAGCAAGTTAGAATTTCGAGAAACCAACCTCAGATTCGAGATCCTCGACCCCGATTACTCTTCGGTCAACCCTTATAAAGAAAATTTCTTTTTGCAAAAAAGCGAACCGTTGTCGCAAAAACAGGACAGATAGTTTTTACGGAAAAACTAATACCGGATTCGTGATCCTCGACCTTGATTGCCTCAGGTGAATCATTTCCGTATGGTTATTGCTACCTTTGCTTTTCTCTTGATGTTTATTTTATCACACACACACCTCTCGTCACAAAATGGACAACTATATATAGGTTGGCAAGGGGAAAAAATCCATATCTGAATACGCAAGGAAAATTCCTCATATATGAAAGAGAAGAATATACCTCTCAATAGAGAGAATGACAAGAAAGGAAAATACCTATATATATGACGAAGAACAGAAAGGAAAATGCCTATCGATAGAGAGAGAATATAACACATACGATCATAGGAATGATCGATCTTATGAACTGCATCTGGATAAGATGTAGGGCATAACACGTCCCCCCTTGAAAAAAAACTTTTGAACGGCCGCGTTCATTGAAGCTATCCATGTATTTATTTTCTTCATTGCCCATGTAGATTTGGTTTATTGAGTGTTTGTAAGTATTGTACCATATTAAATGTTATCATGAATTTAGAAATAACTGTAGTATTATCCCAAGAGTTGCCACCACCTTGATTTATAATCATATTTCATTAACACTATGCTTTGATTCCATACGCACTCGTTAATTGTCAATCTTTATTTATTTATAACATATTATTGGTTATCTTTATGAATTGCCACCATCATAACTCGATATACCATTTACTTCGATTCCAACCAGGTTTGATGCTGAAAGATGAAGACGTTTGTTGATATATGTTACACAAAATCTATCTCTCAAACACCGGCTGTAGATCAGCCACATGAACTTTTCTTTGAATATCTGTCTCCTGCTCTTGGATAGTATAGCTTGGATGTGTCTCTTTGATGACCACATGTGGTCCAGAATAACGCGCCTCTAATTTTGAAAGATGGCCAGGTAGTCGCCATAGAACCAAATCATTTGGTTTATAAATCGGATTGGATCGGTTATGATCGAACCGTGCTTTAGCTAAACCTTGTTGAATTTGGATGTTTTGTCGTGCCGCTTGATGATACATTTTTAACGAACGTACTATTCGTGGCCAATAGTCATTTGGCTTTGTTAATGTAAACGTTGCATGTTTTCGAACTAATGGTAACGATGGTTGTCGACCAAACATAAGCTGAAATGGTGAGTACCCGGTTGTACTATGCTGACCAGTATTGTAAGCATATACCACCGCTAACAAGTACTCATCCCAATTGTTCATATTTTCATCATATAACTTTGCCAGTTGCGGTCGAAAAGTTGCATTGAAGCGTTCCACTTGACCATTCGTTTGTGGGCGATATGGTGTTGATTTAATATGATCAAACCCTATCATCTGTGCTACATTTCTCATTAACTCATTATTAAAGTGAACGCCTTGATCAGTAATAAGTCGATTTGGAACGCCAAATTTAAAAATAAAATCTTCTACAAATGTTTGAGCAGCTGTTTGTGCTGTGTTGTTGGGCAATGCTTTTGCTACAACAAATTTGGTCAAGTAATCAGTTACAACCAAAATATATCTATTGCCATTAGCTGATGGTTCTCTAGTTGGTCCCCAGAAATCCATCCCAACTAATTCCATTTGTCCCTCTGGAGGTTTTATTGGGTTCAGTTTACCAGGTGACTTTGACCGTTTTATATTGAACTTTGCACATTTCTCACATGATCTAATATATGATTCAATGTCGCCCCGCATTTTTGGCCAATAGCAACAATCTCGTAACTTCATCCATGTACGTTTTGAACCAAAATGACCAGCTGTAGGATGATCATGGTAACTCATTAACACTTCAGTTCTCATGGACGATGGGATATAGATCAATTTAATCTTTGTTCTTGAATTATGACGAGAAACAAGTTTATACAACACATTTTCATGGATGATATATGATGGTTGTTGTCGAAGCCTTTTTATAATTGATTGAACATAACCATCCTTTTTTTGTTCGTCACGTATTCTTTCAATTCCAAAGTCGAATGTCCTTGGTAGTTGTTTGGTTGCTGCTGGTCGGGTTGCGGGTGGTATAGGTCCTGCATCATTGTTTATCACTTGTGCCGTTCTCCGTGTCATTGCACGAGTAAGCACATTAAGAACAACATGATCATCACTGGTACCAGAAAATTCATCGGTGTGTTCATATAACTCTGGTCTTGATAATCCGTCCGCATCACCATTCAAACATCCTTTTTTGTACTTAACGTCGACCATTTGTGGAATCATATCTTGATATTTCAAAAGCCATTCTTCTATTCGTTTACAATTGAATTTGTACTTTCGCTGAAATTGTTCCAGGGGTTTATGATCCGTGTGAATTATGACATCCCGACCACCCAGGTATTGTTGTAATTTGTTCATGCACCAAAATATTGCCAATGCTTCACGTTCGATTGTTTTGTATTTTCTCTCAGTTGGTGATAACAAACGACTCAGGTAATAATTGTAATGAATCTTTCCATTTATTACTTGCTTCAATGCACAACCAATAGCATAGTCTGAAGCATCAGTTGCTAAAATGAATTCTGCTTGCGGATGTGGATATTTCAACATCAATGGTGGTGTCATAAGAAGCTTCTTCAAATTGTTAAATGATTCACTTTGCTCTGAATGCCAATAGAATTCATGTTTCATTTTCTTGATCTTGTTAGTAACCTTGTGAATGGGAGCCGCAATTTCTGCAAACCTAGGGATAAACTTTCGGTACCATCCAATCTTACCGATAAATCGATTTGCTTGCGCCAATGTTCGTGGTTCTGGCATATCTATTATTGCTTGTACACGTTCTCTTGAAGGTTGAATGGAATCACAGGTAATAATGTGGCTTAGGAACTCTACTTGTTGCACTGCTACAAGACATTTTTTCAGGTTTAGTTGAAATTGGTGTCGACTCAAGGTTGCCAAAATCTCATCCAAATGTCTCACATGTTCTTCAAACGAATTGGAGTATATCATGATATCATCCAAGTACACAAGCACAAAGTCCCAACGTTTGTAGCCAATGATGTTGTTCATGACACGTTGGAATGTTGGAGGTGCATTCATGAGACCCATCGACAACACTTCAAATTGATAAAGTCCATCTTGAGTACAAAACGCAGTTTTTTCCTTGTCACAATCTTGGATTGGTATCTGAAAATACCCCGCTTTCAAATCCAATTTTGTAAACCATTTATGTCCACCCAGTCTTTGTAGTAGCTCCTCGGTTGTTGGTTGAGGGTATGCGTCTTTTCTTGTGATGGCATTTAGCTTTCGATAATCAACAATAAATCGAAATTCACCATTTGGTTTTTTCAAAAGTATTACCGGCGAAGACCAAGGTGAATGCGATGGTTTGATAATGCCATTCTTTAACATCTTATCAATCTCTTGTTGAATGTCCTTCCGTTGTTGGATTGTCTTGAAATACGGTCTTGTACTAATTGGTGGATGATTTCCTGTATCAATGACGTGGTTGATTGGGGTGATAACCTTTCTGTTGTTCGGTTCCAACAGTGCAGCATATTTCTTCAACACCGATGTGATTGCGACATGTTGATCAGGTTTGCTGAGATGAGTACTGAGTGAATTTATCATTTCGTTGCATTGCTCACTCATGTTGCTCATCTGCTCAGAATGATCTTGAAATTCTGTTAACGTCTGTTCCAAATTGTAAACATACGTACTCATAGATAACCGTGATATGGTACCAATTTTCATATCTTGATTTAATGTCACCGGATATTTTGAGGTATTTGCAATGTTTATTTTTACTATATTATTATTTACCGCTACTAGTCCATCAATCACTTGCACACCTGTCTCATGCTGATGAAAACCACAAAAATAAAGATGATTAGCATTTATTATAGAACTTCTGGCTTTCACAATACAACTGACACCTGGTAAATGTTATATTGTTGAACCAGTGTAACATCATTCTCGACATCTTTATCAAATCCAATAGTTGCTTGTTGTTGATTATGATGAATTTTTAGCTGTTGCATGCGTGGAAGAATATGTACGTCGTAGAAGTTGAGCCAGTCCAATCCAAGAATGAAATCCGCCGCTAAATCATCAACTACTACTGCCTTCACCTTCGTTTTAATATTGTTGATTGTTACAGTTAAATCCACCGTACCATATTGCCACAACTTTGTCTTACCATCTCCCAATGTGATTTCTCCTCTTTTCCCACTTATATGATGATGATATTTCACTTGTTTTAATATTGGTAGTTTTATTAATGATATTGTAGCGCCTGTATCCACCATTGCTCGAACCATAATTCCATTAATCAATGTTTTAATAAAAAGTAAATCCGATGGATATACACGTTGTTTGGAGACACTACCATCATGTGTCTCCATCATTAGTTTTTTGAATACCAACACTCTCGAGCAAGATGGCCAATCTTGTTGCATCTATAACATCGCTGTTGTCGTTGATATTGATTGTGTTGTTGGTACTGATTCTGTTGTTGATATTGGTTCTGTTGTTGATATTGGTTCTGTTGTTGATATTGGTTCTGTTGTTGATATTGATTTGGTTGTTGGTATTGTTGTTGATATTGATTTGGTTGTTGGTATTGTTGTTGATATTGATTTGGTTGTTGGTATTGTTGTTGATATTGATTTGGTTGTTGGTATTGTTGTTGATATTGATTTGGTTGTTGGTATTGTTGTTGATATTGATTTGGTTGTTGGTATTGTTGTTGATATTGATTTGGTTGTTGGTATTGTTGTTGATATTGATTTGGTTGTTGGTATTGTTGTTGATANGTTGTTGATATTGATTTTTGGATGCGGTAATTCGCGCATAATAATCTTCATTGTTATATTCACTTTGATCTTTCGTATGTGATGTATACTGATAGTTGTGTTGTATCGATGAAAAATCGTTTGTCGATTGCATTTCCTTCTTTACTGGAGTTTCCCAATTATGTACTGATGTTGCTATACCATAATCCAGATTTTCTTCTTCTACCGCTGCTTTGATAAATTCAGATGGTGTTTGGGGATTTTTTCTTGATACTTCTTTTCTCAATGATAGTTTTAATCCATTTTTTAGATAGCTGACTTTCAATAAATCATTCATGTCGTGATCGATAACATCAAACAATTCTATCATATCGTTATAATAATGCATCACCGTCTCATCTAACCCTTGATTGCGTTGAGCTATTTGAGTAATAGCTGCTTCCTTAGCAAATGTTGATGAATATGTTTGCTTGATTGCTTCGACAAATGCTGACCATGTCGATAATCTTTCCATATTATTTATCAACCATTTCCTTGCATCGTCAACTAAATAAGTTTGAATGATGCTTAATTTTTGTTCGTTATCGAACTTAACCAAATCCATTTCCTTTGTAATATCTTTTAACCATTTCGTTACATTTTCCGTTAATTTTCCACCGAATGTAGGCCATTGATCCAGTTGTTTACTGATGCGAGAGGTTAATATTTTATCTGCCATTTCAAATAGTAGTGGTCGTCGAATAATAAAACTTTCAACACGTTGTGTTGGACTTGTTTGTTCAACTTCGATATTACCAAGCCGATTCAGTTCTGACAAATATTGTTGTTTTCGTTCACGTTCTCGTCGTCTTTTTTCAAGATTCTGTTCGTACTGTTCAAAATTTCCTTCAGCCTGTACTTCGGAAATATTACGTGTACCAACCAGTTTAGTAATTTATTTGATTACTAATGTTTGAAGTTGTTGGTGTTGTTGAATTGACAAACAATCGGCCAGTGCACCACTGTTATCTTTTCTTTTCTCTTGATGTTTATTTTAACACACACACACACCTCGTCACAAAATGGACAACTATATATATAGGTTGGCAAGGGGAAAAAATCCATATCTGAATACGCAAGGAAAATCCCTCATATATGAAAGAGAAGAATTTACCTCTCGATAGAGGGAATGAGAAGGAAGGAAAAGA